ACCGAACGAACAGCCGGGTAAGAAATGCCAGGGAACGGACCCTTTTTTTGCGGAGCTAAAGACGGCGAAAAGGATTCCTTTCGAGGGACTTTTCCCCTTGGCAGCAGCAGCCGGCGAACCGGCAACCGGCTTCAAAGTGAGTGAAATGTGTAACCCTTGCAATGATTTGTTAAATTACAAGCAAAGTTTTCAGCGAGGGGAGCAACGCTGCCTGCGAGTAATTAGTAAAAGCCTTGGCTATGGCAATGAAAAATTGCCCGAAATTGGGCGTGAAAATGGCGCACAATCCCATCTAGGGGCTGCCCCTTCTACGTTTTGTTTAAAACGGAGCCCATTCCTTTTGCCCAAAAGTCACATTAACTTGGCGAATGCGCTGCTGGTTCCATTAGCGTTGCGCTCTATCAAGATCATGTTCTCCGTTTCTTGTTTTTTTTTTTTTTCCTCCACAGCACTCGTAAGCCATTACTAATGCAGATAATTAGAGTTTTAATGTGTGCCATGCATTCCTTTGAATAAAGTATATAGAACCAGGAGGGGAAAGCAGGCCAAAGGGTAGGAGCGGAGGAGCTCTAAGGAAAATTAATGAAAGTTATCGGCGAGCGAGTATTCTGGCAATCACGAGTCCTGGGAACTTTTTAATGGATCCCAAATTGAGCCCAAAGTTTCAGTCTCCGGTCTGGAGACACCAAAACTTAATCCGTCGGAGCTGGGATTTTGGGCAAACATTTCAGGCATCCATCGACGTCCTCAATGTCCTAGAAGCCGGCGCTTTCAATAAACAAATTTGTACGCAAATATTTTGGTACACAAATTTCTACCAGGCTACTAAATATTTTGTGTAAAGTCGTTGAACATTTACAAAGATTGCAATAATGACAGCTGAGGCTCGGCACAAGGAGCTCCTCGAGGAGGCGCATCCAGGGCGCAGAATGTGTGTGTGTAAACTGGAGCAAGAGGCGGCATACATTACAGAAACGAGGCGCTCGAACCTACAGAAAGGAGCGGAACCGAACAGAGCGGAGCGGGACAGACACACAAAAGTCAACATAAAATTTAATTAAAAACTTTGCAACAACTACAACGATGGGGCGTGCGCCGCCTTCGAAAATGAAACAACATAATGCAGCGCAGGCGGAAAACGTGAGGAAAAGGCCCGGTTTTCCAGCAAATTTTGTATCTGTACGCCATGGCAATCGGAGTTACTAGTCACAAGTCGAGGCCGCCCCAAAGATGTGCACAGGGAAAAATTTTATATTATTCTTAAGCAATAATATTAATAAGGAACTTGTGAATCAAAATAAAATCACAGGAAACCAAGACATAATCTATGAAATCCTTAATAATTGCAAGAGAATATACCTATATTTAATAATAAATAACCTGCTAAAAACAGTTTTGTTTCAGCTTGAATATGTTCCTATTTGATTTCAAGATTTTACAGTACCTTATCTCCAATTTCTCCCAGTGCTCTCAGACTCGTTGCTTGATTTCTATGCCCACGAACGAACTATGAACTTGGAGTTAGTTAAATTCGCCTAGAGTATTGGGCTAAAAAACTCGCTTAGAACTCGAAGTCAGCCTGAAATGGGGCCGAAATAAAAAGCCGGCAACGGCGCAAATTTAAATAAATAAAATGGCTGAAAATAGCGATGCCAAGGCAGCATCTTCCCGATTCCGATGCGGCAAACTGGCTGTGCCGAAGGAAAACCAATTACGAATTCAAATGAAATTCATGAAATTCCTGCCACTTTGTGCCGAACTTAAACCACGTCTTTGTAATATATATCACTTTGAATGCCTCACAGGAAAAAAAGTAGAAGAAGGAACCAAATAATATATATATATACGGAAGAAGGCATAGTTTCGTGGGGAAAGCGGAGCTTAGGCATGGGTTGGCCCGGTGTATCCTCTGCCCTTCGAGACGCTCTCGAGGCATTTAAATTGCCGGCATGATTTGAAATACAAATTGAGCAAATTGGCAGGAAAAACTGTGCAAAGTGAGAGCAGCAAGTGCTCCGATCCGACCGCACTGCCGGGAAAGTTGGGGTAGGATGTTGGGGGCGGTGATGCTATCAGGAATTCGAATATTCTCCAAAGGCGCTCTTAAAGTTCCCGAATCTTTGTCAGCAAAATTCTTGGGCACTGCGCAGCGACCCGGGCTGGGCTATTGATTTTTCCCCCATCTTTATCTTTGGACCCCGCGGAATATGAGTACACACAGATATCGCGTTACGTCGGGCCATAATTAAAATGTTAAAAATGTGGTCACGGAATCTCTGGGAAGCCCTGCTTCCTGGCTTTTAATGGGCGATGTCGTAAATGATATCGCGACCGCATTGAATTTCCAATGAATTTCCCTTTGTCCCTTTGTCCCTCTGGGCAACTGAGGTGGGTGGTGGCGAGAGGCGAGAGGCAAGGGGCAGGCGGCTGGCGGCTGGCTTTGGTATATTGTCACCTTGACAACACCTGGGAGCTCGTTAGCCTCGGCTTAGATACAACATTTTATCTTTGTGCAATTGGCAAGACACCACCAAGCACTCTGCCGGCCGCCTAATCGCATTCAATTAACACACAACACTAGACAAACCAAGGAAAACTAAGCTAAACTACAAGAAAAAGGCAACATGGCGCAAAGTGCATGGCGGAGAAAGCAAATCCAATAAACTTGTTATTGCTTTTGTTTCGGCTGGTCGAAAGGCGTTTATAAATTACTTAAAGCGCTTAAGGCCGGGCCAAAGGAAAAGAAAACGAAGGGAAAAAAACCGGAGGAAAAACCCAAGGAGCTGGGCCAACAACTTGTGGCGTGACCAGTCTTTTGGTCTTTTGGTCGCTCTGTGTGTGTGTGTCGAAGCCAATCCGGCAATATGTTCGACGATTCAGCTATTGCCACCTCCTCCTCTGGTTTTTGGGCTGCTGAGCAGATTAAAGCGTATCGTGTAGCAGCAAATCCAAACCGCAAGCGGGCAACAAAAGGAGGCAGGAACACGAGACGGCGGGGGCATTCTCCAGCCGGCAAAGCCTACCAATTGAATATCAATCAACTTTTTGGGGCGTGTGTGCGTGAGTGCGAGTGCGAGTGCGGCACCAGTCGAAATCCTCTTGCCAAAGCAACAGAAACAATGGAGGAGCCAAGCCAAAGGAGGAGCCGAAAGGAACAGAATGGTTAGGAGTCGAGTGAGAAGTAAAGTGGCCCCATCCCCATCTCCAATAATGGAATTAAAACTGGCAATTTCGAGGCCAAATTGCTTGATAGGCTGTCTTGTCTTGTCTTCCAAGTGTTATGCCTGATGCACAGGAAAAAGTGAGAGATCACTTGATTAATGAAGTACAAAATGAATATATATATATTTTAGATCATAGATAATAAAATTTAATCCTAATTAAGCAACAAAATAGAGGAAAAAATAGAGAAAAAGTAGGGAAATGAAGAACCCCTTGGTTAAATTTATAATTTATTTTTAACATGTTTTATATTTATTCATTATCAATTGCAGAAATTAACAAGAATTATTTTTATTTAACATATATGTAAACTAATTATAAGTATTCAAATTAAACACCTTCTTCATGGAATAAAAACTCTAACTCTGTTTTGATTCAAGGGTAGGTTCCTTGTAGTATTAGTATTATGAATACTATATCATATACTAAAATAAATTGTACTGAAACTCTACCCTTCTCATTCAATTAAAATGTGATGGAAAATTTTAAAATTTAACCCATATATGACAATATTTTTCCGTGTACTCTATCGCCTGCCCCCATTGAAATTGTACAAGCGCGTCTAACCGAATTAGGGAACACAAATCAATTGCATTAAATGGCAGCTAGCGCGTGTCTTCGCCCCTTTTTGGCCGTCGAATCGTGTGTGGTTAGGATTCCGGCTCCGCCACACCACTTCCTCTTCCGAATTTAGCATACAAAATTGGCGTACACGTCGTATACGTAATACTTGCAGCCGCATGCCAAAAACAATTGTGCTGGCCTAAACAGGCAGCCAAATAAATGCCGACGAACAGCTGCAAACGACTTATTTATGCCTCGCATTGAGTCGAAAAAGAATTCAGGCCCCAATTCCTTTCCATTCCATTGTGGGTGGAATGATATCCCTATTATGGCCGCTTCTATCGGATTATGTGAGTCTGAATCCTAATTTACACAGCTTCTCGGAGTTTACCTCTTCCAGAGGACGAACTTTTCCCAAAATGAGAAGTCGAAAGGAATGCCGAATGCTCTCTCTCTCTGAAGTATTTAAATTCAACGGATTTTTTTGTACCTTTAGCGTTGCCTTACTTTTCCCCATTGCATGTGTTTATTTCATTTCTCATTTTCACAAACATTCCTCCACACACAAACCCAAACATACACACACCACACACAACTAAAGACGCCACATGCCAAGTTCTACTTCATTTCATGTTGGCATTTTGCACAATTTTTATTTTGTTTTTCCTCAGTGGGTGAGGGGACTCTGTGTGTGTGTGTGTGTTTATATGTTGATGGAAATTTTGTTATACTTTTTGGTTTCTTATTTGGTATGTGGAGCCCATGGAAAAGTGCGACTTGGAAGCCACCGCAAAACAATGAAAATTGGTTTTGTTACTTTGCTGACTTCCGCAGACTCTCTTCTGTGGCTGAGCCCTTGGCGGTGGTTTTTTATTGCCCGCCTTGTTATTGTTGCTGTATTTATTTGGCAGCTGGAGCGGAGTAGGAGCCTCCAGCTGGAGTGGGAGTGGGGTTGGAAGTGGGAGCCACCCGGCAACCACACACACACTTCCACCTTCCGCCACCCACTTGAGGCCAGGCCAGACCAGCAGCTTCTGCTGCTGTTGATGGCGTCAAGTATTATCGCATAAAATCCAAAATGTAAACACTGGCACAAGTCTGGTCCCTGCAGCACGTACACGTTTATATTCTAAGCGAAAAGTCGCTGCCAATTTGAATATTTTCTGGGGCGAACAGCCCCCAAAAGAATTCACTAATATGCTGCAAATTATTACCTGAGCTCAGGTGATGAACGATCGCAATTGTATTTTCTTTTACTATCCGCAATAACTTCACTCGTATCTCCCTTGGCTGGTGTTAATAGATGTTAATTCACTTAGTTTTTTCTTAATAATTCACTTGCTTCAGTTAGCCGCAGATCGAGATCTGCTTAGTTTGGGTTAAGCACTTTGCACACAAATAACTATAATCCTTCTGCTGGTGTCCTGCTGCTGAGTGTCTCTGGCTTTGGAAGGCTCTGCGAGTCGCGCGCGATTCGTGTCACTTGCGTCGAAGGGTTCACTTTCAACTGAACCGTTATTCGCCATCGACAGTCGTTACTCTGCGCCCTGCACTCGGCTTCGGGTCAGTGCTTCGGGTGCCCTCGGGTCTGCTCGGCTGCAGAGACGAGGACACACGAGCGCCGGAGAGAGGTCGGTGCTCGCCGAGAGAGCAGGTCCTGTCGCTCTCTCCCAGTTCGCCGCAGGACAAGTGTGCCACGGCGAATTGGGAACTAGCAACTCGTCAGATTTTGTACTTTAATTAAAGTCCATATAGCAAAGGCTAGCAAGAGGTATAGTTGATAATTCAGTGATATTAAATACAAATGTTAGACAAGTCCTTTTTAGATTTTATGTATCCTTGCAGGGTTCTTTTAGTCAAAACACATTGAAGGAGTCATTTCCAACCCTATAAGTCATATATATTCTTGATCAGCATCAACAGCAGAATCGATCTAGCCATGTCTGGTAGTTTTCGAAATTTTTTCAAAAAAAGATTAGGGGTTACATAGTTAAAATTAAAAAAAAATGTATAAAAATTGTCAATTTTTTAAAATATTAATCTGAGTATGCAGATTCATTAATCTAAGGAAAACTAGCATAAAAAAGTTATCCCAATAGAAATTAGTCGATTTATGGCTGGGTTATGATATTTTAAAGTTTTGGTTTTCCTGAAATATTTTCATATAAAAATATCAATTTAATATTTATTTTAGTCTTCCCTTAATTATATCCTCTGCTGTATAGGCTATTTTCCTATGTATTGATTACTAATTTTAATTTTTTCAATAAATTTGATTCAATCTCAAAGGATATTTACATTATAAAGTTATTTATTTTTCTTCAAGGTAAGCAATTGGAAGTGTTACATTCAAAGAAATACAATTTTAAATAAATGATGAATATAATATTTAAAATCATACAGCTTTCTTATAAATATATTTATAAATTATTTTCAATTTGCCATTTCTTTAATTAATAATTTGGAAAGTAGCACTTTAAAGTCTATAAATATTTTTCCTGGTTTACTGAAAACAAGTTTTACTTTAACCGACGGCAAATCCGTAGCAAGCAGTTTTATGAATGCGATCCTTCGTCACTCTCTGGAGTTCATTCAGAGTTCAGAGACTCACTTGAATATTACCCCTACAATATTTCAAATCAATTCGCCCCACATTCCGAATTTCACTCCGAAAACGAAGGGGTGACTTTGACTCTGGCGACTTCGCAAAGTGTTGCTCTCGCCGCATTGGAAATGTCCTGGCAACATTCGAATTGTTGAGCATTTTGTATAGCAACATTTCGAGCTGGAAGATAAATTGCGGCATGTCCTGCTAATTTCGGCGAGTGAATGTTACGTGGCAAAGTCCCCAGGTGAAACGCTGTCACTTTTCACATATCTCGCACTGGTGCCAAGAAAGAGCCACCAAGTTGAAAAATCAAGTTATCGAGGCGTGACAACCGAGGGCAGACTCGCGTGTAATTAAAACTAAACACAGGAGCAACATCAACAGCAACAGGAACAGTCACCCGCTGGCCATGGTCATCCTGCTAACCGTGAAAAGCGAGTCAGCACTTTGACTGGGGTGGGGGAGGGAAAAACAATGGGAAAACCAACGGAGTGCATGGATACGTATTACGCTGATGACGAAACGGAATATGAAGTCCATAAGTCAGGATTAAAACGGCGGCGGCCAGCGGACACGCAAAATATGGCGACAACAACCTGGTCAAAGGAACTTACACCATCCGTCTGGGAGGGGGTAGCGATGTCCTGAAATTAATTTGAATATTTCCAACCTTTTTCCGCGCCGCGTTCTCCCTGTCCTTTGTCTTTTGCTTTATTTCTGTTTTTTTGTTTCTGTTTCCGCCGTTGTAGCAATGGGACTTTTGACTTCATTAGAAGTAATGGTAGAATCTGGCTGAAAAGTGAAAAACAGGAATCTGTCCGCGCCGCGGTCCATTTCCCCCCTGCCTCGCGAACTGTCAGCAACGCAACGGTTATAAAATTCCAAAAATATGCACATAAAGACATAATCCTCCCCCAACCATTTTCCGGGGAAAATGGAAATAGAAACAACTGCGGAGTCAACGGTCAACAGGCGGCGGGTCAGTCAGTTTCAATTTATTGTGCGCGCTTGAAAATAAATTTGTTTTTCGAAAATGCGAACATCAAGCACACAGCATGCCGTGGGCAGTGGCCAGCTGGGACAGGTGGAACAGGTGGGCAGGAGGTCAGATAGGCAAGCGGGAGGGAAAGTGGGTGGTGGACCAAATTCTCAGGGGTTCTCGGAGATGAAAAACGATTACGCAATCTGGTCCCCTGTCTAGTGGAACAAGCTGGGGCGGTCAGCATGAAATGAGCTGAGTTTGTATACTATACATCTTTATTTTTATATACATATATATATATATATATTTTCCCCAGCAAGGCTTTCGTCCTTGGGGCATTTTAAAGACTCTATTAAATTACGCAAAACTGATTGCATGTCCTTAGTGCATATTGAATTCGAGCACAATCGATTTACTTAAATTGATGCGATTTAATTACTTAATCTTTTGTTTTCCCTCGCCTGTCAACATTTCCAAAGAACCTTATTAAGAGGCCAAAGCTTTTACGTTTAAATTATGCCAAATTTCCATAATAAGTAAATGCATAATCCGATTAAATATTAATCTGTCATGAATATGTCCCAAAAACACACAGGAAATCGTATGTACTTTGTTCTGAGAACGTATTAAAGAGTTATTTAATTCGTATTTTAATACAAAAAGAAGATAGTAATTAACTTGAGATTGCCATAAAGAAACTATTTCAAATTTACTCAATAATATGTGAGTAAGGCAGGATTACAATTTATGTTTATTTTTCCTTTTATTAATCTGTATTTGAAATGAAAATTTCCTGTTGATAAATACAATACAAAGTGTTTGCAATTGTTAAGGATTAATTAATTGTAAATTGCCAGTTTGCTTTTTGATTGTACATTTAATATAAGTTATTGATCTATGGCATTGAGGGTAGGATTTATCACGCAGCTGCTGCAAGTGCATCCTTGCGGTTATTACAACATTCCACAATTAGTTGCAGACCCATAATTCGCTTCAGGCTTTTGTTGTGAAAACTCAATATTGAACATTAAGATTGGTCACCTGGGAACACGGATTGGTTGCATAAACGGAGGAGGCGGAATATGTGGACGGTGGACGGTGCACGATGCACTCAGCTGTTCAACCGGCGGCGGAAGCGGATTACGATTCGGATTCGATTTACTTTGCCGTCGCCAGGAAGTCACCATGCGGGTGCGTTACAAACCGGCAACAGTTAAGGGAAAATCGCGGTGGTAGGAGGAAGGGTGGTTCAAAGGACTTGCAGTGGCTGCGGCAGACCTACAAACAAACAAACAAATAAACAAGCGGCTGGCAAACAGGCCGCGCCGTGATTGCAGGACATTTGCGCAAAAAGGCAAAACAATTGAATTGAATTGACAACAACGAGAACCACCAGGATCGGGATGCTTGCTCCTGGATCCTGGGGTTGGGGTTTCGGATTGGCGGAGTGGTGGCCCTGCTGCTCGAGGGCCGCTCACTCGACCGGTAATGGTGTTGATAGCATTAAGCATGCCTGGACGAAGTCCGCCCAGGATATGCGTGCAGGCAGGGTGCTCGAGAAGGCCAATCTGTTCCAGGGAGGAGGAGGAGTAGCTCCCAGTACTGGGAAAAATCTTTGATTCTTTACAAAAACCCGATTCTTAGTAACTGCATATTAATTAGCTTTTAATCTATAGCTTTAATTTGTAATAATGATATTTAAATACTTCAAAATTGTAAATTTTATCACCTCTACTAACTCTAGTTTCTTTTTCAGTGCATGGTAGTTGTTTTGTGTGTTGTTTTCACTGCACTCCAATGCTTTTTGCAATGTAAACAGCCGCCACAGACGCCGCCCTCGGCTTTTCACCGACACTCGCACATATTTTCACATTTCCTTTTTTCCCTATTTTGGGTTTGCTTTTGTCCATTGTTTATTTGCTTTACTGTGGTTACTTTTGCTGTTTTTCCCATTTTTTTTTTTTTTGTTGTCTCATTTTCCTTATTTTTTTGTTGCTACCAGCAGCTGGTGTTTGTTGTTGTTTGTGGGCTGGCAAATTAGTTGAATTTGGGAAAGAGCCTGGCCAAAAAAGGGTGTGTGGAGGCTGTTGAAAGTTTTTGTTTGACACTTTCTGCCATAAGCCTCGACCACATGCGACATGCAACAGCAACAGCAATGGCAACATCGACAAGGACAACGACAGCCTGGTGCTCCTGCTCGCACTTAAAGTCTTTCGTTGAGCCTGCTTCTGCAGCACTTAATCCGCTTAAACGTTAAAAGTGCTAATAGTTTTTCATGTTGCAACCCTGACTTCTTTTGCAGGATCGGAGAAGGGGAAGGTAGAAATCCACCACCATCAGCAGTAAAAACAACATTGCAGCATCAAAACATTTTTAGGAGGGGGGTTGAAAGAAAGGTGTTAAAAGGCAATAATTTATATGCTTAGAATTGTCATTTGTAGCTGTTTTGTGTGTGCAGCAGGACCCGTCGTCTGTTCCCGTATTTGCTTTGCCTCTCTCACCCTCTCAATGCGATAATTGCAATTTTGTTTTGAGGTTTTCCCTTCATTTAATGGCCAATGATTACACCCTGCATTTTTTATGCTCCCTCAACGACAATGCTTGACTAATTCGCAGATCAATTAAAGATTCGCCCTCGCAAGCTCATCAATCAACTGTAGATCCAATAAAATCGCATATGTGTGCCACACCCATAGAAATTCGCTTCGAATTTCCCCTCGCCTCCAAAATCCTTCTTCGTCCGGCGGAAATGTCCTGCATCAATTAAAAGCATCGAACCGTTGCGATTGGAATGTTATTGCCCTGCCACTGAATTATTGAGAAAACTGATTGCATTCGGAACTATGAATTAATATTTAATAAGGCAAGGTCGGGGAATTTCTCCAAGGAGCCAAGGAG